GTCTATGTCATGATGTGGGAAGATTTGCATAACACCACCCAAATGTTCACGCAAAGAAAGAAGGCATAACTTTTATTCTCTGTTCCAGAACAGTTCAACCCAAATATTCAGATGTGTGCAGCACATTTTATGGAGGACTGTTTCCAGAACCTGCAGAGTAGCCTACAATGCGTCTGTGCACAAAGGCTGTTTCTATAAAGTGGGGCAGTTCCTACTTTGCAAGGACAGTCTGGCACTTCTGACTGACAGCCTGTAAGTACGTTTTTTATATTTAAAGAATTAGCCACTGACGATTAAAACGCGAGTTTTGAGCAGTGTAGAGTAGCGCTTGTTGTTTGTCATTACAAATACAGACATGGTTTTATGTTTACGTGGCGCGATACGCAACGTAACGCGTAAAAAGACAGAATAAGACATAATAATCAGTAATTAATTATGTCCCCAATGGATGCAACAAATGCCTCATTTGTTATGGGTTTTATTGGTTTTGTCTCGTCGCGCCGGGACACGGCATCACAGTATGGTAAGGGGCGTAACATTTAAACACATTGCATTACACCAAAAACACAACATAATGTTCTTTTTAGCAACATCATATGACCCCTTTAATTAATAAATATAAATGCATATTCATTAATACTTATAATTTAATAAATGCTTGTTCATTGCTAATGATACCTAAACCTTTGAATCGAATTGTCTTTTTTTAAAGAATCCACTTCCCTTTTTAATGATTTATACCACCGTTCCATGTAGAATATGTGTGTTTGAATATGGCTTCCTAAGGCAAACAATGGATTTCATGACCCCCTGTGAATTAGATTGTAATGATCAGAGGTCTAACTCAGGAAACCAGCAATCATGGCAGTAAGTGTGAAACCTGTCAATATTAGCACATCTTGCTGTTGAAGTCTGGCCTGTTGTTATGATCACTTATTTTTAACTTTGCTTGTTATTCACATGCTGTACTGCAGACAAACAAACCCTTACTGCAAACGTATGACACTACTCAAAGTCTTGGTGGCTTGTGAAGCAGATAGGAAACATTTATGGACTGCATTTTGGTTCCTCAAGCTCTTTTGATGCTGCACAGCTTTGCACAATAGGGTAGGTGGGTAATTTGTTCAGCTGACTTGGTTTCCACTATCGGCTCGCGTTACGCTGTGTTTATTCAATTCATTCCTACACACCCAACTGTTTCTTTCACCTTAGGGTGCAGCTCAGGCCCATTGTGACAGATCAGGTCCGCTAGAACCCTCTGGCATGCTGAAATTAATATCCCAGGCTGCCACCCACGTCCGTCTGCCATCACAGCATCCCTCAATCCATGTCCATGTCCATCTTGGAGACATCACGTTGGTAAATGACCTCCGATAACACCAGAGGTCATAAACTTATTAAGGAATATTCTAGATTCACTACAAATTAAGCTCAATTGACAGTGTTTGTGGCATAATGTTGTTTACCACAAAAAAAAAAAAAAAGATCCAGGCCAGTTTTTGGAAGAATTTAAAAGTGAGGCACTGAAAAGTCGAAAAGTAAGGCACTTGCATAAACAATACACAAGTTTTATCATTTTCATCATTTTTTTACAGACATTTTTGGGTTTTGCCATTATGTTTTTGTTTACATCTTGTGTTGGGTATACTTTGGAAATCATGAGAATTTTAATATTTACAGATTCAGATGTGCTTTTTTAAAATATATATTTTTTTGTTTTGTTTTTGTAATACACATTATGCCACAAGTGTTGTCAAACATCTAAACCAGGAATAAATATATAGATATAAGTTCTTCCACCTCAGAAAATCTAAAAGAAAAAAAAAAATCCAGGCCAATTTTTGGAGGAATTTAAAAGCATAAATGTGAAGCCCATTTATTTTTATTTTTATAAAGGCACTTACATAGATAATACACAAGTTTTAATAATAAAATTAAAGTTGTTAAAGTATTATCATCATTTTTACAACCATTTTAGGGTTTTAGTTATTATTTTGTTGTTCTTGTGGGCATATTTTGAAAACGGTTTTAAAATTTGCAAATTGATTTTTGCTTTTTAAAATAATTTTGTGTTGATGTTGTTGTAATCCACACTATGCCACTGTCAAATCATCTTAACCAGGAATGACTATGGAAGGTGTGAGTTTTTCCATTACAGAAAATCTACAAAAAAAAAAAAATACACCAGCCTGCAGTGAAGAGAATAGTTTTCTGAGATGGGCGTATGGACACTGGCAATAATAATGGAATTGCTGTATGAATTGATTGTATTGAAGCGTGCAGTCAGATGGTTCTCTCCAATATTTGTTTATGATTACAAATGGGTGCTGCTCTGATCCCAGCGTCTACACTCATAAAGCAGTGCAGTGCTCCTGACCTTTCTCTAGGTCTCTGCAGTGGGACAGCGAGAGGCAAAGAATGATGGTTTATTCTCTAGCTCATTTAGAGTTGACCACACAGCTGGAGGGCCCAGATGTACCGATTTAATGGCTAATTACTGTCTCGCACACCCACTGCCTGATGGGAGTGAAAGGTCATGCTGAGGAGCTCCGGGTGTGAGTTTATTGTGTTATTTATGCATGTAAATTATTAGCCACAAAATTGCACTACTCAGATACTGTGAAGCCAAACTAATGATGCAATCCATCAAAAAATAACCTAGTTCTATCCATATATGGTGTAATTGTAGCCCCGTTTAGTGAGAAAGAAAGAAAAAGAAAGAGAGAATGATATTTGATTATCCATGAATATCTAGGAAAAAATTGTTTCAATATGCGTGCTTGATATTATTTTTAGGTCACACTGTATGATGAGCTTCATTTTGTTAACATTTTTAATTGCATGGCTCTCTGGAATACTTGAATCTGATTGGTCAATTGCAGTATTCATGGGTCTGATATTTCCAAATATTTACTGTTGTCTATGGCAACTCTGTAACCAAAAACGGTGCTTCCATGTCTGTCACATCACACCGCAGACTCACTATCACTTGCTTTGTACAAACACAACTACCAGCTTCTAGTGTCTGTTATCGACTGTAGTAAAAAATTACCTCAGACGACTTCGGCATTAATATTACTGTAATATTGTTGTTCGTCTTGTTGATAGCATTATTTTGTATATTGTAACAGACTTTTTTTTCCCTTGGTCAAAACTTTAGGAAAATATACAGTGCAAATTGTATAATAATTTAAAAAATGTAACTCTAGTTATGACGAACAATAAACAATACTTTTGACATTTCAAGTTGTATGAATTACATTTAATAAATAACATTAACTATGAACATATATTTACAAATTACCATTTATCCTTGATTTAATAAATGTTATAAATTCCTGTTTATTGTTAGTTCATGATAATTCATACAGTAACTTATGTTAATGAATTTAACCTGATTGTAAGTGCTGCCCATGTTGTAAACAAAGGTTAACATGTTTTAGAACATTGGTGATCAGTCACACACATCACCGTTTGATCAATGAGCCAAGCATTATGCGAGTTATGAGTAGTTGTAAATCGCTTCACGCATACATATCATAAATATTATAAGCACTTTAGCCATGATATAAAGAGACAAAACGGCATGTATCACACATTCATGGAGAATGGTTTGGATGTGGAAAACGGGCCAGATCAGGCGAAAAATTGTCGTAAAACTGGTCAGTGGTGGTATTAACTCTAGAGCCTTGTTTATTGCTGTGCTATGGCTCATTGACACCTGCTCAGAGCTCGGAGAAGATCTCATTTCAAAGCCATAATAATGCTGCAATCTTCACTTGCTGCTGGGTAGTGTACTGGGTGTGCAGCTAAGACAGGGAAACAAATAACAAAGTTACAAATTCTACCTAACTACGTTATGTTAATTTGAGCAACATGTCAAAATCGTTGTAGGGCACATGTGAATTTCAAAGGACATATTTAAGTGTATTTTTGGTTCTGATTAGTAAAACCATAATTCCAGCTTTTAACAATTAAGCTGAATAGTGTTGAAGTTTTTAGAATGCAGGCACATGTATTTCCTAGCAAGCACAGAATGTTCCCTTAAGGTTAGTGCATGCTTATCATTTGGTTATTTTATTTTTTTTTAGAACCAATTCCTAATGTTCTAAGAACATTCGTTTCAGGTGTTTAACTGTAAACTAACAAGGAAACCAGCCTTTAAAAACCTTAAGCTAGGTTCAGTTATTTTCCATATGATTTAGATGTGTAAAACAAAGAGCAGATTCCTAAAACCTGTCAATTAAAGTGGACCTGTAACATGATGACTTAACTGTATTCATAAGGATTTTCTAACTAAAATTAATGCAGCACACAAGAAAATGCCAGAAATGTAGCCTGCATGAATGCAATTCTTATGCAAATGTTGAATAACAGCACTAAATAATGTTTAGATATTCTATGGTGAAGCTATTTTGCTCTTCGAAGCAGATCTGCAGTGTGAGAAAGAAGTTAGGATATTTTATGTCTCTGTACAGGAGGACAGTGAAGGAAATCAGCCCTGATGCTGAATTTCACAATATAATTCTAGTCCTGCATCAACCAAGGTTTGTTTTCAGCTGTTTGGCAGGAACTGTCTGCGTTCAATTCTTGAGAACTGAGCTGTTAAGTAAAGATGTGAGATGCTGGATCAAATAGTATAGCTTGAGGTCTCAAATTAATAGTGGAGATGAGAACAGACGCCACCTTGTGGTGCTAGTGAGAACTGCTCACTCTTCCTCAGTCCTTCCCTTTAAACAGACAAACGCACTGTCCTTCCATTCCTTACTTCATTTCCTCCTTTTACAAATGTATAGTGTAAAAGAACGGGGCACTTGACCTTGATTTGTGCTTAAAGATTGCTGATTGCTAAGATCCACTTACTATATCTTCATGAGATTGGATTGTAGCAATGCAACATAGAAACTAAATATTCATAAATCATTTTAGTTTTACTAAGTGATAAAAAAGGAAGGCGATATTGTTCAGAATATAAATTACATATTATACAGTCTGTCTTTTGAAATACAGTGCGTTTAAGAGTCAGATCTAAATACAAAGGACATTATCTGTTTAAAATCATCATTTATGGCATGTATCAGACTCTGGAACACTGTTTTTGCAGTACGCTGTGCTATTGTTTCTGCTTTGAGAGTCTCTGAATCCAACACCCCCATTAGGGGTGTAAATCGGCTGAATGCGAAAGTCCCCCTTGAGCAGCTGTTCGTTATTCAAAGAAACTATCTGAAAGCTAGTTTCAGTCATTTCTAGAATAGAGTTATCCTTTTTAGTCCCCGCTTCGCAGTAGTCATCTTTTCTCCTGCCCCGACTGTATTTCCATTTTGACGACTCTGACCTTCCCTTCTTGTGCATGTGCCAGCAGAATATGCTCAACAGAACCACCAGGACCACAAGCACCGCCCCGCCAATCAGGCCAGCCAGCAGGAAAGGCGAGCTGGGGTCCTGCTGGGTCGCCTGCTCGGTCCCAGTGGCGTTATCGCCGGAGTGAAAGGAAGCAGACTTTGTCGTCACCTCTGAGCAAATTGTATCGTCTCCCGGGTGGTAATTATTGAACGCGTCCAGCGGATCCACGCAAATACGATAGGTGGACTTGGGCTCCAGGGTTGTCAGTGTGATTCCCTCACGTTCGCCCTGCACAAGCGACTCCTGCATGGGGCCGGTTATCAAACTGTGACCCAGCTTGACCCAGGTCACCTTATAGGCCGTGACGATGAACATCGACACCCAGCTTACCTGAATGCACGAACCATTTAGCACTGCAAAGGAAACTCGCAGCGATTCCTGCATCGGGCCGACCGGGTCATTCGTCCTCTGCTCCCTGTCTTTGCCTGCAGTCGGCGGTGGAAGCGTCAGACGTGGAGGCTTGGGTGTAGGCCGGGAGCGTGCGGGTGTGAAAGCCATTTGAGTGGCTGACTCAGCGGTGGAGGAAGAGAGCAGTGTGGGCTGTGGGACTGTGGCGGTGCTGTTAGGACACTGGATGAGCTCCAGGGTTAGCTCTCTGATTACCATGCCACGTACCCTCTCTGGTTTCTGGCACATGAAGCCACGGACATTGAGGGTAGCTGGCAGGGACTTTAACCACAGTATGACCCATTTAATGTTGCAGTCACAGAGCCAAAGGTTGTTTCGAACAGTGAGCTGTCTCAGACCGTGGAGGCCGTCAAAGACCCCCTGTGTGAGAGACTGCAGCTGGTTGTTTGAAATATCCAGTATCTCCAAGCGATGGAGGCCGCGAAAGGCCGTCAAAGGAATCTCATTCATCTGATTATCCTGCAAGTTGAGCTTGACTAGAAACTCAGCTGGCAGATTAGGAGGAGGAACCGTGAGGGAGTTACGCGCCAATGACAAGGTTTTGAGATTAACGAGAGTCTGGAAAGCCCCGGGGGCGATGCCCTCATCCATGAGCAAGTTCCCATCCAGGAGGAGGAGCTCAAGGCCCGTCACGTTTTCGAACGCGTCCTCGGCTATAAATGCGATGCGGTTCTCGTCCAGCCGCAGCTCTCTCAGCTCCTCGGGCAGCCCGATGGGGACGCTGCTCAGGTGGTTCTTGGTAAGGAAAAGAGTCTTGAGACTGATGGCCTCCCTGAAGGCCCCCTCCTCCACACCCACGGTGGAGATGGAGTTGTCATCCAGATAGAGCTCCTCCAGGCGTAGCAGCTGTGCCAGGGCGGCCCGGGACACCGTCTGAATGTTATTCTCCTGCAGGTGGAGCACCCGCACATTTTTGGGAAGATTGACAGGGAATTCATCAAGCTGGTTGCCATAGAGATGCACAGTCTCCACAGAGGCAACGTTGTGCATTTCCAGAGGAAATCCAGCATTGTTGATTTGATTGTTGTGGAGGTAGAGGGTCTTATAACCCTCTCCTAGCCCCAGAGGCACTGATGTTAGACTCCTCTCATTGCAGTAAACAAAAGTCCTGTCACACCGGCACTCCTCCGGACAGGTTGTGGCCCAGGAGAAATGCATGTGAAGGCCCAGAAGTATCGGTATCCACGGGCTGATCAAAGTAGGCAGGTCTTTATTCCACATTCGGATCTGTACCTCCATTTTGTAAAACTTTGCAAACTTTCTGACAGCAACAACAGTGCACGTAATTAACAAGGGTGAAAAAAATCTAATAAAATCCACCACACTGGAGTTCTTAGCGGATCTCGAAGCTTGCCTCGGTGGAGAGTATGCGATGTTGAAGTCGCTGGGTAATCCTCCTGTAATTGCCTGTCCTAAGCTCCCCAACACAAGAGCAATAGTCTCATTAACTCGTGCGACTCCCTCTCATCCCTCTGTCCATGCTTGGGCTGGAAATGATAGCAGAGCTCATCACATTGTCACTCTGAGTTTAAGGAGGGACGATTTCAAAGTGTGAGGGCCGGAGCAGCAAGTATGGAGGACTCATCGAAGATGACCTCCTCTCTCGTCACAGCTGGACGATTCTCGTAAGGCACGACCTTCCTTACAAGTAGCATTTTGAGCCACTTACCTATTTTAACAGAAAATAAAAATAGATGAGATGTTATTTCAATGTCAAAACGATCTGCATGGTTTTTATTTCCGAAACGTTTTAACAGGAAAATGCGCACCTGTGTATCACAACAATATGTGGTTTCAATATCATCCAAGTGAAATAAGTTTACTACAGTGGTCCTTAGCATTTCACTGAAACATAAGCAATAATAATCCACTTGAATTTACAGTGATTTTACCATACCAAACCCCCTTACTTGTGGCAAAATTAATAATAAAAAGATTCAAGTGGATTATTGCAACAGCTCAATAATGAAAGACATTTCAATCTTTATTGTTCAATAACAATAAGTTATTCTACTAGGAGGACTATTCTGCTTCTAAGTATCTAATATATTGCATTATCTTCACTGTAGACTGTTTACGGTTGCCAAGTAACATGGCAACTTACTGCATTAATAATAACATTGAATGTGTAAACATGGCACATTCAATCATAATTTAGAGTTTGAACTGTCTACTTTTATAAAATGGATTTAAATGAAATTTACATATTAAGAAAAAGAGACAGAAATAGAAAAAAAGAAAGAAAGAGCAGCAAGCAATAAAGCAGGAGACTGCTCCACACTTGCTCTCGGTGAGGAGAGAGTGGTGACTGGTGACATCAGCATCTCTGAGCTCTCAGACTTGTAAAGGGCACTGAGGTGTTTAATCTGTCAAATGCCACAATGATGGACAGGTCTGTTCTCCAATGCTCTGGCACAGAGTTCTCCTCTCAGTAATAATGATTTTGAACCTGGGGACAGTGAGAACTGCTCTATTTAAATCAGTGAAGAGTGCATGAGTTTGAACGGGAAAGAAACAGCTCTTTCCATGATGCAGAACATACAATATAGTAAATTAGACACTGGCATCTCTCTGATTCCTCTCATGAGATGCATCTGCAATTTTAGCAGCTGTCTCCTTCATGCACAGACTTTGAACAGATCAATTATGGGTTAGATCATTGGACATTTTACATGGTAGAGAATAAAGGTTACAAGTAATGTAATCATGTCAGATTACAAGATGTAATGAATGTCAGCCTGATGGCTTGAATATTGCTATTGGATGTGCAGATTTCACAAATTCATTTGTTGTAGCCATTTTGAATATCATTGCATCTTAATAGTCTTCATCAAGGCCTTACATGTCCTCACCTATTCCTCACCATCTATCAACTGTCTGCAATTTGTGTACTGTATTTTGTAGTATTGTTCTATATTGCTTTGCACTATTTAGTGTATATTGTATTGTCTATACTATCTCATGTAGATTGCTGTACCTACTGTACAGTTTCCACTGGCCTTGCTGTATAAATATAAATATTCTATTCTATTCTATTCTATTCTGAAAGTGTACATTCCTTTTGCGGGAAAAAAAATAGTGCTTTCATAGTCTGTTGTTGTATATCTCAGCAGAAGAAAAATTATCTTACAGGATTTTTGTCATTCTTATATTATTTTGTATTTTGATTTAACAAACCAAGGTCCAGTATAATAGTGAAGGCCATTTGTTTACTCCAGCCTTTACTTACTAGTCGGCTACATTGATCCAGAATTTCAACTAACATTATACAATGGTGTTCAGGTCTTGTTCATTGAATTACTCTTAGAAAACGGCTCAAGTGCAGACAGCTGATTTGAGCAGTGGTGTGGTTATGCACACATGGAAAATCACACATGGAAGTGCTCGACATCTTACTGCTATAAACACACTTATGAAATGTTCTGCTTTACCTCTTTCTCTCCCTATTTGTGAGATAATTTGTGTTCTCTATAAACAATAAAATATTGTATTTTTTTATTTATACTACATCAATAACCTATAAACTGGTTAAATGCAAGGTATCCTATACGTTAACAAATATATTAGAATTATATGTAATTTTACAGTTTTTTTTGTGTTTTTTTTGGAAGTGAAAAGCGTGAATATGAATATGTGTGCTCTGATGGCGTATTGGGTTTGTGTAGGTAACTGTGAGGCTGAGCCTTGTCTATGCATATTTATTCATGGTTTATATTGAGGCCAATTTTGTTTAACTTTAATCTATCATGTGGCTTTCTATTTTTCCACCTTTTTAAAAAACATTGTGCTCAGTATATTATAAGGTACACAGCAGAATTAGTAGTCAGTGTAGACTGACATATTAGTATTAAAAGAGTAAATGACATACAAAACAGTCATGAACTGCAAAATATAGCTACAGGCACCAAATGCCATCCCGTAAATATTCACCAAATTCCATGCCTAAAATTTTCAGTAAATTTATCGGCATTATTTTAATAAACCTACTTATAAGAGAATTGTTCAAATGTAATTTAGGAGTAGCGGATATAACGGCTGTTATACAAGAAGTTTCTCGCAGGCGCGCAATTAATTAAATCTAGAAATTAATTTGGAAACACTAACAGTTCCGTGTGTCTTTACTCTCTAAACGTTTTTTTTTTTTTATCATTTATTTATTTTATTTTAGTCCTCACCTTTTCTGAAGAGGCTTCGACCCATCTAGGCAGCATTTTTAAGTCTTCTAGTCTCTTCTTCTCCGGTATGAGTTCTCAGAATAAACATCCCCCAGATAAACTAAAATATAATTCCATACCCCCAACAGAGTCAGCCTAACGATCCTTTAGTCCGGATGGTCTAAAAAGCATCATTCTGTCGAGCACTTGATCCTGGGGAGGATTTCAAGAGTCTGCGCGTCATGATGCGCCCGAGAGCCGCTGCTTCAATCCCGCTGATGCGCTCCCGAGTTCCGCGCTTCCTTCACCAAATGCCCGGAGCGCGCTGGACTCCCCACTCTCTTTCACTCTCTCGCTCTCTCTCTCTCTCACACACATACACATACACACTCCGCTCACTGTCTCACAACAAAATATGTTACACTTCTTGATTGAGGTCCGATTCCTCTAGCATAATTGGTTTCATCTGATTGTTTATTCCAAATGAACTGCGCTCGTTTCCCGTTGGAACCTATGGGAGGAATTGCAGTAATGAATTAATTTGATAGCTCTCTCTCTCTCTCTCTCTCTCTCTCTCTCTCTGCCCTTTTATTTTCTGTTGTGCTCTCAATGCATTTAGAGTTCGCTCTGTACGGCAATTGTGAATTGTATTTTTTGTATTGAATTTATTAGATTTAATTATTTATGGAATTCTCTGGGGCTGCACAATTATCGAACGATAATCAATAGTGTGGTTATAAAAAGTTACAATTACATAATCTAATCGCATAGTTTTCTATCCACAGTGTTTTTGCAGCGTTGAGCATTGCAACCAATCACAGACGTGCCCGTTAAGCGATGCAATTGCAACAGCCAATCGGAGGCGAGTTGCAACGTCTCCGGTGTAAGTCTAACAGGCCCTTTTCACATGACGTCACGCAACTTCCGTTCTGACGCGAAGCAGGGTATTCTTACTTCCGCCAGCATAGTAAGCACTATCCCTACCAGCTTGTACAACTGCCACAAATACGATTAGAGGATGACTGCTGCTGTCTATTCTCGTCCTCGTTCAGGTAGAGGCGTCTGGCATCTCAAACGAACTTACCGAATACAGATCAGCGAGATGTGCCGCTTGAAGTCGAGGGAGGAGTTGAAAAGGGAGCACTGCAGTCACTGATTCCCGCGACTCTCGCGCACTGTTTGCTGTCTTTATTGCAGTTAGATGAAGTTGGTTAGATATATTTCTCAAATTAAAAAACTTTTTAGACATTTACATGTGGTAACAGGAAGCCTTTTCATTCAGTAATTTATGTCCTGCTTAATACAGCGCCTGTATGTACAAGAATAGTTCAACATAAGCTTGTACTATTTAAATATCAATAAAATTGGGTCTATAATTTTCTGTTTTATTAATGTAATTCAGAATTTAAAAAAATATATATATTAAGTTTATATAAAAACTTTTACAGTTAAAAACAGATGCCAGCATTTGTGTAAATAAATATATTAACACGATATACATGTAGTTAAAACGAAATTGAATGGAGGAATTTAAGTAATTGTAGAAGTCCAAAGTTCTGTAGAACTATATGTGGCTGTCCTTTTTGCATTGTTTCAATATTAAGCTATATTCTTGAACTGGATAATGAGTTTCTTTTCAGACCACTTGCCTTTATGGATGTGAAACTTGCCATGTAGTAAAACGATTTAATATAAAAAAAATATGACTTGTGTCCATGTCATTTCCCCATAGTAAATAAAAACAAAATCACGTTGTTTGTCTTTTTATTGCCCAACTATAGGGGGACGTCACTGTGAAAAGGGCCTATTAGTAGTAGCATGATCAGTAACGGCCACTATTATGATTGTATACTTATATTGTATCACATCTATTTTTTTTATAAATTATGAAATAATGTATTATTTTGTCATAATCATGCAGCCCTATTTTCTAGTTATAGATTTCTTATATCGCATAATAAATTGAGAATGGCAGTGCAGATGTGTGATTTTTTACCAATTTTGTTTTGCGAGTTTTGAACGTCAGAGTGTCGTCATTTTCTATCTGTCCTTGATTATTTGTGGTATTATACAGACCCAAAGCTGTGTTTCTCCAACAT